GTCCCCAGCCCAGTGGACACTGCCTCCGGCTGCCCCGGGCCCTCCTGCCCCCACCTCGAGCTCCTTCAGTGGAAGACTGAGGCACCCTCAGTGTAGGAAGGAGCGCTACCGCAGGGCCTTTATCCCCACCGCTGTCAGACTGTACAATAAGTCACTTTAAATGATCACTGTGTGAAAACCTGCACTACTATTGACACTGTTTCCAATTGACACTTGTCACTTTTGTTGCACATAATTATTGTCACTTTTATTGTACATATATCCTGCATGTAACATGTTTGCACATTTCCTCCTTTTGCACAATCTGAGTGTTCTATCCATGCCAAATGTGACATGTACATTTCTCCTCTGAGAGATAAATAAAGCACATCTTATCTTAGTGGTAGGGGAAACCGGAGTACCTGGAGGAAACCTACACAGGCACAGGGAGAACATGCAAACTCCACTCAGAAAGGCCCCCGTTCCAACTGGGATTCGAACCCGGGACCTTCTTGCTGAGAGACGAGAGTGCTAACCACTCAGACACTGTGCCACCACCTCCAATTTTGATTATAGAATATTGAACAAACAAAAACAGTTGTGATTGTTTTTTGATTCTTCCTTGTACATTTGTCTGGTTCTCCACATGGTTCTCCACATGGTTCTCCACACACAGACGTAGTTTCTTGGAACCCTGCCCTCGTCAGTGGAATGTGTAGGTTTTGCTGCTTATGTAAGAGGAGTACGTACAGTATTTTCAGACTCAAAACAAGTCTCATCAGTGCTACTCCAACAGGTCACCACAGTCTGTTTACTTAAAAGACTACAGGGCACCCAGACTTCCAAAGTGTGGAACTGGGGACTTTGCTAAAGGTTAAATAAAGCTCATGTCGATGAAAACATTTGGTGGTCCTGCAGTAACGGCAGCTGCAGTACCAGAGACTGGGATTCTATATCACGCAATGTCTTCATGAAAATACACCCAAGTTACTTAAAATCAATGCTTTTGGATATTTGTTCTGGGACCAAGCTCCAAACTCTGGAAAGTCCGGTGTGAACCAGAACATCTGCTCGAGCTGAACTCGTCTGAAGTTCGCACGAAATGTCAACGACAAAAACTCGATTGAGTTCAAAGCAGAAAAAGTGAAAGAACGTACCGAGGATCCAGAGGTGTGAAGCAACCCGCTGGAGGTGACGCAGAGCTGGGAGCCGCACGTGGAGCTGAACCTCGACAGTGGAGGCCCAGGCAGGACAGGGTCTGGGGGAGGAGGGGGGAGGAGGGGGAGGCAGAGCTGGTCCCAGTCAAGGCTTCAAATTTCTCTGATGTCACCACAAACACTCCTCTTCCTTTTGCAAACAGAGGCGTGCTTCCTTCTCTCGAGCTAACTGCACCGCTGGGGTCCCAGGGCACCCCTGCTCCAGAGGCCCCCCCCCCTGCTCCAGAGCACCATCTGCTGCAGTCGTCAGTTACAGATTGAGAGTCAAGTCTCCACATGCACGACGGGAGCGAGGAACCTCAGAGCCCTGGACCCAGAGAGAGGTCCACACAGGAGAGGGGGGGGTCTGCTGGTACCTCCTCTGCTGTTGCACGTACTGTATGTACTCACAGGAGAGGGGGGGTCTGCTGGTACCTCCTCTGCTGTTGCACGTACTGTATGTACTCACAGGAGAGGGGGGGGGGTCTGCTGGTACCTCCTCTGCTGTTGCACATACTGTATGTACTCACAGGAGAGGGGGGGTCTGCTGGTACCTCCTCTGCTGTTGCACATACTGTATGTACTCACAGGAGAGGGGGGGTCTGCTGGTACCTCCTCTGCTGTTGCACATACTGTATGTACTCACAGGAGAGGGGGGGGGTCTGCTGGTACCTCCTCTGCTGTTGCACATACTGTATGTACTCACAGGAGAGGGGGGGGTCTGCTGGTACCTCCTCTGCTGTTGCACATACTGTATGTACTCACAGGAGAGGGGGGGGTCTGCTGGTACCTCCTCTGCTGTTGCACATACTGTATGTACTCACAGGAGAGGGGGGGGTCTGCTGGTACCTCCTCTGCTGTTGCACATACTGTATGTACTCACAGGAGAGGGGGGGGTCTGCTGGTACCTCCTCTGCTGTTGCACATACTGTATGTACTCACAGGAGAGGGGGGGGGGTCTGCTGGTACCTCCTCTGCTGTTGCACATACTGTATGTACTCACAGGAGAGGGGGGGGCTGCTGGTACCTCCTCTGCTGTTGCACATACTGTATGTACTCACAGGAGAGGGGGGGTCTGCTGGTACCTCCTCTGCTGTTGCACATACTGTATGTACTCACAGGAGAGGGGGGGGGTCTGCTGCTGCTGTACCTACCTCTGTCCTCTGCTGTTGCACATACTGTATGTACTCACAGGAGAGGGGGGGGTCTGCTGGTACCTCCTCTGCTGTTGCACGTACTGTATGTACTCACAGGAGAGGGGGGGGGTCTGCTGGTACCTCCTCTGCTGTTGCACATACTGTATGTACTCACAGGAGAGGGGGGGGGGTCTGCTGGTACCTCCTCTGCTGTTGCACATACTGTATGTACTCACAGGAGAGGGGGGGGGTCTGCTGGTACCTCCTCTGCTGTTGCACATACTGTATGTACTCACAGGAGAGAGGGGGGTCTGCTGGTACCTCCTCTGCTGTTGCACATACTGTATGTACTCACAGGAGAGGGGGGGGGGTCTGCTGGTACCTCCTCTGCTTGTTGCACGTACTGTATGTACTCACAGGAGAGGGGGGGGGGTCTGCTGGTACCTCCTCTGCTGTTGCACATACTGTATGTACTCACAGGAGAGGGGGGGGTCTGCTGGTACCTCCTCTGCTGTTGCACATACTGTATGTACTCACAGGAGAGGGGGGGGGGGGTCTGCTGGTACCTCCTCTGCTGTTGCACGTACTGTATGTACTCACAGGAGAGGGGGGGGTCTGCTGGTACCTCCTCTGCTGTTGCACGTACTGTATGTACTCACAGGAGAGGGGGGGGTCTGCTGGTACCTCCTCTGCTGTTGCACATACTGTATGTACTCACAGGAGAGGGGGGGGGGTCTGCTGGTACCTCCTCTGCTGTTGCACATACTGTATGTACTCACAGGAGAGAGGGGGGTCTGCTGGTACCTCCTCTGCTGTTGCACATACTGTATGTACTCACAGGAGAGAGGGGGGTCTGCTGGTACCTCCTCTGCTGTTGCACGTACTGTATGTACTCACAGGAGAGGGGGGGTCTGCTGGTACCTCCTCTGCTGTTGCACATACTGTATGTACTCACAGGAGAGGGGGGGGTCTGCTGGTACCTCCTCTGCTGTTGCACGTACTGTATGTACTCACAGGAGAGAGGGGGGTCTGCTGGTACCTCCTCTGCTGTTGCACATACTGTATGTACTCACAGGAGAGGGGGGGTCTGCTGGTACCTCCTCTGCTGTTGCACATACTGTATGTACTCACAGGAGAGGGGGGGGGGTCTGCTGGTACCTCCTCTGCTGTTGCACATACTGTATGTACTCACAGGAGAGGGGGGGGGTCTGCTGGTACCTCCTCTGCTGTTGCACATACTGTATGTACTCACAGGAGAGAGGGGGGTCTGCTGGTACCTCCTCTGCTGTTGCACATACTGTATGTACTCACAGGAGAGGGGGGGTCTGCTGGTACCTCCTCTGCTGTTGCACATACTGTATGTACTCACAGGAGAGGGGGGGGGGTCTGCTGGTACCTCCTCTGCTGTTGCACATACTGTATGTACTCACAGGAGAGAGGGGGGTCTGCTGGTACCTCCTCTGCTGTTGCACATACTGTATGTACTCACAGGAGAGGGGGGGGTCTGCTGGTACCTCCTCTGCTGTTGCACATACTGTATGTACTCACAGGAGCCCTTCCTGTCTACAGCAGGACCATGTGTAAAACAGTCAAAAGATAAACACATTTTACTAGAATTTTATTTTGAACATTTTACAAGAAAAAGTAACAGAAAAATGTCACCATAAAACAGTTAAGAACATGGCTCCACTCACACAGATCAGCTGCTCCAGAAGTCGCTTTGAGCGTTTAAAAAGAAACGTGAGAGACTGAGGTGAACGAGTCTGAGAGACTGAGGTATGCATCTATGATGCTAACACCCAACAACTAAAGGAACGAGTACGATGATGTCATCACCGAACACATGATGATGTCATCACCGAACACATAAAGGAATGTAACAGTGAGTACGAAAGTCAAAAAATACAAAGTTTCGTTGCATGTTTGGCAGCTGCCACATTCACCATTGGGACATGAGCCAAAGGCACAGATGAGCGGCACCAGGCCCCCAGCACCAGGCCCCCGGCACCAGGCCGCAGGAGGAGCACCGTGAACACTCCAAATACTGCACCCAAACAACAACAAAACAAAAGGAAGCACTGTGGAGAGTGTAAACGTGGCCCCGACAGTGACAGAGCCGGTCCAGGCTGGAGCTCAGGGACTCACACTGTCCGAGGGTTGTACTCTGGAAGCTTCTTCAGCTTCTCCTGCTCCTGCTCGGACTCTTGTCGGGCGATCGCCAGAGAGTGAGAGTATCCCATAGCAACCTGCAGACACAGCGGAGTGTGAGAGACCTGTCTGCACACACACACACACACACTGACAGGCACACACACAGACAGGCACACACACAGACAGGCACAGACACACTAGAGCTGGGCGATATAAACGGTATAAGCGGTATGCAATAAAAATTTGGTCAACGATAGAGATTTTTGTTATAGGTCATTATGCCATCAAATTGCACGAGACCCCAACAGAGTACTCTGTGCTAGGTACTCTGTTGGCCCCTGGTGGTACTTGAGCTTAACCTCAAGTCTAAATCTAGCGCATGCTATGACGCCAGGAGAAAGCACCAAAACAACCAGCATTAGCCCAGCCGCATTAGCCCAGCCGCATTAGCCCAGCCGCATTAGCCCAGCCGCATTAGCCCAGCAGCATTAGCTCAGCAGCATTAGCCCAGCAGCATTAGCCCAGCAGCATTAGCCCAGCCGCATTAGCCCAGCAGCATTAGCTCAGCAGCATTAGCCCAGCCGCATTAGCCCAGCCGCATTAGCCCAGCAGCATTAGCTCAGCAGCATTAGCTCAGCAGCATTAGCCCAGCAGCATTAGCCCAGCAGCATTAGCCCAGCGGCATTAGCCCAGCGGCATTAGCCCAGCAGCATTAGCCCAGCAGCATTAGCCCAGCAGCATTAGCCCAGCAGCATTAGCTCAGCAGCATTAGCTCAGCAGCATTAGCCCAGCAGCATTAGCCCAGCCGCATTAGCCCAGCCGCATTAGCCCAGCCGCATTAGCCCAGCCGCATTAGCCCAGATCCCATCCAAGGTCCTAATGTTGATGAGCGTCAGCGTGGCCTGCAGCATCATCACAGTCAAGTTTGATAAAGTTAGCTTCAGATTCGGACTTCCGCGGTCAATAGCTCACGAAAGCTACATTGTTAAATAAAAGTAATTGTGCCAAAATGATCACATTTACATCGATTGCATTAAAAAAGCGCAGAGGATTGGAACAGAGAAATCCATTGCTGCAAGCACCGAGAAAAGCGCTTCGGGAGCGTCAGCAAATGTCAAGACCAGCTTTGTAAACGAACAATAGCTTTTACGTGATGCTATGTACAAGCATTTGTCTCTTTTAAAAATATCTTTATGACTAAAAAGCATGCATTAAGTCCTTAACCAGCCAAAGAGTTCCACCTGTTTAATTCCATTTTGACTAAAGATTTGTTTTGTTTTTTATATGTAGTGAAGTTCTAAAAACTGATTATGAAATTCCATGATCCCTGTGTAGATTGAAATTAGGACTAAAAAGTGCTCAACCAGATCTACACAAATGGTGTCCCTTATTTTTCTGTTCTCAAGTTGGTCCCACCCACTAACCACAGGGTCTTCAGTTCAATCTGCATTTCAAAAGCATGGTGTTTCTTTTAAGCTGCACCAACTGACTTAGAGAACTTTTCGAAAGAGAACACTGAGCACTCACTGAGAACTCTCTGCTCGCCCTCCCCGCAACTCTGTGTGTGGCATGTCCCCACTTCTACACTGGTGTAAGGCTGTGTGTGGCGTGTCCTCACTTCTCCACTGGTGTAAGGATGTGTGTGGCATGACCTCACTTCAACACTGGTGTAAGGATGTGTGTGGCATGTCCTCACTTCTATACTGGTGTAAGGATGTGTGTGGCATGTCCTCACTTATCCACTGGTGTAAGGCTGTGTGTGACATGTCCTCACTTATCCACTGGTGTAAGGCTTTGAGTGGCATGTCCTCACTTCTCCACTGGTGTAAGGATGTGTGAGGCATGTCCTCACTTCTCCACTGGTGTAAGGATGTGTGTGACATGTCCTCACTTCTACACTGGTGTAAGGATGTGTGAGGCATGTCCTCACTTCTACACTGGTGTAAGGCTGTGTGTGGCATGTCCTCACTTCTACACTGGTGTAAGGATGTGTGTGACATGTCCTCACTTCACTGGAGTAAGGATGTGTGAGGCATGTCCTCACTTTTCCACTGGAGTAAGGATGTGTGAGGCATGTCCTCACTTGTCCACTGGAGTAAGGATGTGTGAGGCATGTCCTCACTTGTCCACTGGAGTAAGGATGTGTGTGGCATGTCCTCACTTCTACACTGGTGTAAGGCTGTGTGTGGCATGTCCTCACCTGCTCCAAGAAGACTCCGTCCAGGGTCTTCACTTCCTGAGCGCTGGTGGATGACTTTGCTTTGTTGTCTCCATATCCCTGAGGACACAAAAACACACAATAAAACAAGTTAAAACTTCAAAAAAACTACACAATGATCTAACAACAGCTGCTGCTTCAGCTCTACATGAAGGACACAGACACCATCTCTGGCATTAAAACCAATGTGACATCACTTTTACCTTCTGTAGCTTTTTTTCAAAATTGCCGTGGGCAGCCCCTCCCACAGGAAAACTACATGAGCCCCATTCATTTAACATGTGCATTCAAAAGTCTTGAGCGGCTAAACTAGACTGGTCCAAAAACATATACTCTCCTCATCATCGACAGCAACTGGGACCTAGAGAACCACTTTTGGAACCAAGAACCACTTTTGGACCAAGAACCACTTTACAATGCTGTAAAGACTGTTCCTCAATGGATCCACTCTTACAATGTCAAACACGGTCTTTTTCAATAAAGACTTAGATAGTAGCTTTTTTTAAATAATTCAAATGCATTCACTGAAATGGACAGATTTCTGTTTTGGTTTAACAGAATTTTTTTTAAGTGGCTCTTGGTTCAACGCTTACATTCCAGATTTTGTCGATGCGGATAGGGTTTCGTTTTGGACCAGTCTAGTTTATCCGCTGTGGTCTTTTGAATGCACTCGGTAAATGAACGCCATGTGTCAGGCTGGTCCCACTAACACATGACACAGCCTCTGCTCCAGAAGGGTTTCTCACATTTTCCTTGAGGGAGGGGCCTCTCGTGGCCATTTTGAAAAGACGGCAGGAGGGAAACGTTGGCTAACATTAAAGTCTGTGTTTATACAGAAGTGAGAGTAAAGCAGACTCACCAGTTCTCCAAAGGTGGGAGACGGACCCCAACTGATCGTACTCTCGTCTGCCGCGATGATGACGCTGCTTTTCCTGTTCATGGCAGAGTAGAACTGTTAGAGCCAGGACTTCATTCATACTTAATATATCTACAACCAGTGACAGAGAGGGCTCTGTGTCAACTGAGGCTGTATACGACCATCTACACTTGCCCTGACGTTCAGGAGAGAGCCCTGACGTTCAGGAGAGAGCCCTGACGTTCAGGAGAGAGCCCCTACGGTTCAGGAGAGAGCCCCTACAGTTCAGGAGAGAGCCCCGACGGTTCAGGAGAGAGCCCTGACGGTTCAGGAGAGAGCCCTGACGGTTCAGGAGAGAGCCCTGACGGTTCAGGAGAGAGCCCTGACGGTTCAGGAGAGAGCCCTGACGTTCAGGAGAGAGCCCTGACGTTCAGGAGAGAGCCCTGACGTTCAGGAGAGAGCCCCTACGGTTCAGGAGAGAGCCCCTACAGTTCAGGAGAGAGCCCCGACGGTTCAGGAGAGAGCCCCGACGGTTCAGGAGAGAGCCCTGACGGTTCAGGAGAGAGCCCTGACGGTTCAGGAGAGAGCCCTGACGGTTCAGGAGAGAGCGCTGACGGTTCAGGAGAGAGCCCCTACGGTTCAGGAGAGAGCCCCGACGGTTCAGGGGAGAGCCCCGACGGTTCAGGAGAGAGCCCTGACGTTCAGGAGAGAGCCCCGACGGTTCAGGGGAGAGCCCCGACGGTTCAGGGGAGAGCCCCGACGGTTCAGGGGAGAGCCCCGACGGTTCAGGGGAGAGCCCCGACGGTTCAGGAGAGAGCCCCGACGGTTCAGGAGAGAGCCCCGACGGTTCAGGAGAGAGCCCCGACGGTTCAGGAGAGAGCCCCGACGGTTCAGGAGAGAGCCCCGACGGTTCAGGAGAGAGCCCCGACGGTTCAGGAGAGAGCCCCGACGGTTCAGGAGAGAGCCCCGACGGTTCAGGAGAGAGCCCCGACGGTTCAGGAGAGAGCCCCGACGGTTTCAGGAGAGAGCCCCGACGGTTCAGGAGAGAGCCCCGACGGTTCAGGAGAGAGCCCCGACGGTTCAGGAGAGAGCCCCGACGGTTCAGGAGAGAGCCCCGACGGTTCAGGAGAGAGCCCCGACGGTTCAGGAGAGAGCCCTGACGTTCAGGAGAGAGCCCTGACGTTCAGGAGAGAGCCCTGACGTTCAGGAGAGAGCCCTGACGTTCAGGAGAGAGCCCCTACGGTTCAGGAGAGAGCCCCTACAGTTCAGGAGAGAGCCCCGACGGTTCAGGAGAGAGCCCTGACGTTCAGGAGAGAGCCCTGACGGTTCAGGAGAGAGCCCTGACGGTTCAGGAGAGAGCCCTGACGGTTCAGGAGAGAGCGCTGACGGTTCAGGAGAGAGCCCCTACGGTTCAGGAGAGAGCCCCTACGGTTCAGGGGAGAGCCCCAACGGTTCAGGGGGAGAGCCCCGACGGTTCAGGAGAGAGCCCTGACGTTCAGGAGAGAGCCCCGACGGTTCAGGGGAGAGCCCCGACGGTTCAGGGGAGAGCCCCGACGGTTCAGGGGAGAGCCCCGACGGTTCAGGAGAGAGCCCTGACGTTCAGGAGAGAGCCCCGACGGTTCAGGAGAGAGCCCTGACGTTCAGGAGAGAGCCCCGACGGTTCAGGGGAGAGCCCCGACGGTTCAGGGGAGAGCCCCGACGGTTCAGGGGAGAGCCCCGACGGTTCAGGAGAGAGCCTTGACGTTCAGGAGAGAGCCCCGACGGTTCAGGGGAGAGCCCCGACGGTTCAGGGGAGAGCCCCGACGGTTCAGGAGAGAGCCCCGACGGTTCAGGAGAGAGCCCCGACGGTTCAGGAGAGAGCCCCGACGGTTCAGGAGAGAGCCCTGATGGTATGAACTCACCCACAGCCCAGACTGCGGATCTTCCAGCCGCACAGGTCCTGGACCATCTTGGGATACATGGTACACTCTCTGCTGGTGTTGGTCACTCCCCAGAAGAACAGGCCTCCTGCACATGGTACACATCATACACTTTAACATGACGGACTTTTACACGTTTAACACATGTTTATAGAGTATAGTATAGGTTCTGACCCATCTTTAAACACATGTTTATAGAGTATAGTATAGGTTCTGACCCATCTTTAAACACATGTTTATAGAGAATAGAGGTTCTGACCCATCTTTAAACACATGTTTATTGAGAATAGAGGTTCTGACCCATCTTTAAACACAAGTTTATTGAGTATAGTATAGGTTCTGACCCATCTTTAAACACATGTTTATAGAGAATAGAGGTTCTGACCCATCTTTAAACACATGTTTATAGAGAATAGAGGTTCTGACCCATCTTTAAACACATGTTTATAGAGAATAGAGGTTCTGACCCATCTTTAAACACATGTTTAGAGAGAATAGTATAAGGACAGGTTCTAAGCCATGTTTAAACTCATGTTTAAGCAGTAGAGTATAGGTTCTGACCCATCTCGTTGACAGCGAAGGAGCACTGATATCCTGTGTAGATGTTAGAAGCGCCGCGGCCCGGGAAGTCAAACAGCTTCACCAGACGAGGAACCATCTCATCCTTCTGCTCCGTGTGACCCAGGCGACCATAACCACCAAAGCCCCAGCTGAAGACTCTCTTCTGGGAGTCCAGCACCAGCTAGAGGGGAGAGAGGGAGAGGAGAGGGGGGGGAGGGAGGAGGGGGGAGAGGGAGGAGGGGGGAGAGGGAGGAGGGAAGGAGAGGGAGAGGAGAGGGGGGGGGAAGGAGGAGGGGGGAGAGGGAGGAGGGGGGGAGAGGGAGGAGGGAAGGAGAGGGAGAGGAGAGGGGGGAGAGGGAGGAGGGGGGAGAGGGAGGAGGGAAGGAGAGGGAGAGGAGAGGGGGGGGAAGGAGGAGGGGGGAGAGGGAGGAGGGGGGAGAGGGAGGAGGGAAGGAGAGGGAGAGGAGAGGGAGGAGGGAAGGAGAGGGAGAGGAGAGGGGGGAGGGAGAGGGACACACAGAATTAGTCAGTCCTCACTGTGCCCACAGACAGCCACAGACAGCCACAGACAGCCAAAGACAGCCACAGACAGCTTGTGTAGAGTCAGAATCACTCACTGTGTGGTTGGAGCCACAGGCCACGTCTCGGACCACCACGTTGGGGACCGGTGTGATCTGACCGTCTTTGGACTTCTCTATGAACAGGGCCACGCGCCGCGGGATCAGCTCACAGTCGAACTCGATCCGGTTTGAGCGAGCAATGTACTTTCCATCACTGTTGTGGCCTACAAACAAAAGGACTTAGATTACTGCCATCAGCCGCTACTTTGGTCTACTTCTTTGATAACTGCAGCTTGTACAGCGATCGCTCTCACGGCGATGAGGCTAATGCAGGCGCGGCTTATATGCGGTTTATATGCAGGCGCGGCTTATACGCAGGCGCGGCTTATACGCAGGCGCGGCTTATACGCAGGCGCGGCTTATACGCAGTAGCAGCTTATAGTCCAGACAGTGGCGGATGCAGACGTTTGTGTACAGACGTGGAGAGGACATACCCAGTTGCCCGTAATCTGGACATCCAAAGGAGTAGAGGTTTCCTTTGCAGTCCACCACCATACTGAACTCTGCCCCACAGGCCACCTTCACCAGAGGCTGCCCATTGTACGAGATCTGCAACACACACACACACATTTATATAGAGAGGAGAGAGAGACACACACGTTTATATAGAGAGGAGAGAGAGACACACACACATTTATATAGAGAGGAGAGAGAGACACACACACGTTTATATAGAGAGGAGAGAGACACACACACGTTTATATAGAGAGGAGAGAGAGACACACACACGTTTATATAGAGAGGAGAGAGAGACACGAACATATATGTACAGGACAGAGACAGAGAGACACATTTATATACAGGTCACATAGATTACAGATATGCAGACCCACTCACTGTGGCAGGGCTCAGCACAGCGTCCGTCTGGCTGCCTTGGCCTAACTGCCCGAGTTTGTTCTCTCCAAAAGAGAAGGCCGTTCCATCCTCTGTGGAGAAGGGAAATCAGTTACAGGCTCAGGCCAGAGACCAGAGAGAGACCAGAGAGAGAGAGAGACCAGAGACCAGAGAGAGAGAGAGACCAGAGAGAGAGAGAGACCAGAGAGAGAGAGAGAGACCAGAGAGAGAGAGTCCAGAGAGAGAGAGAGACCAGAGAGAGAGAGAGAGAGAGAGACCAGAGAGAGAGAGAGAGAGACCAGAGAGAGAGAGAGAGAGACCAGAGAGAGAGAGAGACCAGAGAGAGAGAGAGAGAGACCAGAGAGAGAGAGAGACCAGAGAGAGAGAGAGACCAGAGACCAGAGAGAGAGAGAGACCAGAGAGAGAGAGAGACCAGAGAGAGCGAGAGAGACCAGAGAGAGAGAGTCCAGAGAGAGAGAGAGACCAGAGAGAGAGAGAGAGAGAGAGACCAGAGAGAGAGAGAGAGAGACCAGAGAGAGAGAGAGAGAGACCAGAGAGAGAGAGAGACCAGAGAGAGAGAGAGAGAGACCAGAGAGAGAGAGAGACCAGAGAGAGAGAGAGACCAGAGAGAGAGAGAGACCAGAGAGAGAGAGAGACCAGAGAGAGAGAGAGACCAGAGAGAGAGAGAGACCAGAGAGAGAGAGAGAGAGAGAGAGAAAGACCAGAGAGAGAGAGACCAGAATCAGTTGCAGGCTCTGGGAGAAACATCTGTGTTCCCAGTTTTTATACTAGGTTCAAATGTGTGTACAGAGGTTTAACAAAGAAATTCCGCTGTTGCAATACATTTGACTCTTGTCCTTTACATTTGTTTAACTGCAGAAATAAGCACGTTGATATTTACTTCAGAACTGCATGTTTTAATAGAAAAATGTGGAAGTGTCCGTCACATCACACATTTAAGGTTTTAAAAAGGCGTTTATATCCACGGGTCATTCTTATAAGGACTCATTACTGGAGAGCCCCCCCCCCCACATCAGAGCAGGTCAGACGCACCTGTCAGAGCCAGAGTGTGGTTGCGACCGCAGGCTGCAGACACCACCACCTGCTCAGACAGAGCCTCGATGAGTTTGGGATGGTCCAGGCGCTTCGTGTCTCCGTGACCCAGCTGCCCTTTGTCATTACGACCTGGAAACAACGTCACAAAACCCCACACACAAACTTTATGATCATTCTACAAATACAGAATGTTTTATACTAGTTCTGAAATGGACCAGAGAGAGAGAGACCAGAGAGAGAGACCAGAGAGAAAGAGACCAGAGAGAGAGAAAGACCAGAGAGAGAGACCAGAGAGAATGAGAAAGACCAGAGAGAGAGAGAAAGACCAGAGAGAGAGAGACCAGAGACCAGAGAGAGAGAGACCAGAGAAGGACCAGAGAGGGACCAGAGAGAGAGACCAGAGAGAGACAGAGAGAGACAGATGTGTTACTGGCTCAAACAGGAGCCAACAGAATGTCTGACCCCAGCTCCAGAGCTTTCCCTCTGTGGTGATGAGGAGGCTGAAGGCAGCGCAGGGCCCCGACACCACGCTGCTCACAGACACCTCGTTCAGGCAACCGTAACGGTGAGGGCCCCACAGGTTCTGGCCTAGGTTCCTGAACGCCGCTGCAGCACAAACACACACATTACTCTCATTCCCGTACACGATCAGCATTAGAACTCATGGACTGCTGCTGTTAGTGATGTCCCTGATGTTCAAGACCCACAGTGTGCTCTGATTATGTGAAATATAAAAACAGAATCTGGCAAAAATTAAGTTTGTTTCTAGAGTGTGTTCACAGTAAAGAGTCGATCGTAGTAACTGGACTTTAAGGGTTATAACTACAAGACTAAATTTACTCAGAGATTGGAAAAAGATTCCAAACACAGACAGATCAAAGAAAGTGTGGATAAAATCAAAAGGAAAGATTAACGGCTTATTAAACGAGCGCGAGGTCTGTGCAGAGAAATATCAGACCGCCGCACGCCTTATACCGCACGCCGCATACCGCACACGCCTCATACCGCACGCCGCACACGCCTCATACTGCACGCCGCATACCGCACACGCCTCATACCGCACACGCATCATACCGCACGCCGCACACGCCTCATACTGCACGCCGCATACCGCACACGCCTCATACCGCACACGCCTCATACCGCACGCCGCACACGCCTCATACCGCACGCCGCACACGCCTCATACCGCACACGCCTCATACCGCACGCCTTATACCGCACGCCGCACACGCCTCATACCGCACACGCCTCATACCGCACACGCCTCATACCGCACGCCGCACACGCCTCATACCGCACACGCCTCATACCGCACACGCCTCATACCGCACACGCCTCATACCGCACGCCGCACACGCCTCATACCGCACGCCGCACACGCCTCATACCGCACGCCGCACACGCCTTATACCGCACGCCGCATACCGCACACGCCTCATACCGCACACGCCTCATACCGCACGCCGCACACGCCTCATACCGCACGCCGCACACGCCTCATACCGCACACGCCTCATACCGCACGCCGCACACGCCTCATACCGCACACGCCTCATACCGCACACGCCTCATACCGCACACGCCTCATACCGCACGCCGCACACGCCTCATACCGCACGCCGCACACGCCTCATACCGCACGCCTCATACCGCACGCCGCACACGCCTCATACCGCACACGCCTCATACCGCACACGCCTCATACCGCACGCCGCACACGCCTCATACCGCACACGCCTCATACCGCACACGCCTCATACCGCACACGCCTCATACCGCACGCCGCACACGCCTCATACCGCACGCCTCATACCGCACGCCGCACACGCCTCATACCGCACGCCGCACACGCCTCATACCGCACGCCGCACACGCCTCATACCGCACGCCGCACACGCCTCATACCGCACGCCGCACACGCCTCATACCGCACGCCGCACACGCCTCATACCGCACGCCGCACACGCCTCATACCGCACGCCGCATACCGCACGCCACGCGCCGCAGACTGTCCAAAATGGACAGAAACGTCACGTTACGCACTTTCAAACAATTAAACTTGAGGAAAATGGTCTGGTTTCACAGTTCATTGCTTTAATAAGAAAGAAATCCCTTTGTCTCAACTCAGTGTAAAATAAAGAATCTCTGGATCAAATGTGGATCTGAAAATATGTCACAAACTTCAGCTCATTCAAAGGATCAGGTCCGAGACACAAACAGATTTGGAAACATGAAAAACATCTTCTGATTATTCAAATCTAATGTTTGGCCTTTTGAACCTATAGTGTGAACAAGCTCAGTAGCTAGTTTCGTTCTCCCCTGATCACGGTCGAGTAGATGAAAAAAAGACTTTTATTGAAACTTCTGTAGTGTTGTTCAGGGCTCGAGTTTCCTTGTGCATGGACTGTGCTATACATATAAACTTGCCTTGGTGGATAAGGGCAGTGCTGTATGGAGAACGACTGTGACACCTACCTTGTTGTTTGGGGACCTCTTTTCTGCCGATCAAGTCCCAGTTGGTGGCTCCAAATATTAACAACTGTCCCTTTGCTTTTGGACACTCGAGTTTCTGTCGAAGGAAAGAACATTTATGAGTCTGCACCAGACGATAACATTTATTTTTTACAATGTCAAATATACCAGCAGAAAATGTATGGATAGACAATGGTAGAGGAGTAGCTTGAGCAACACTACCATCTAGTGGTGAAATGTGATTAATGCACACAGCTGTACAGTGAAGGAGGAAGACTGAGGCTGGATATGGACAGAGCGGAGTATGGAGAGAAGAAAAGACCGGAGTATGGAGAGAAGAAAAGACCGGAGTATGGAGAGAAGAAAAGACCGGAGTATGGACAGAAGAAAAGACTGGAGTATGGAGAGAAGAAAAGACCGGAGTATGGAGAGAAGAAAAGACCAGAGTATGGAGAGAAGAAAAGACCGGAGTATGGAGAGAAGAAAAGACCGGAGTATGGACAGAAGAAAAGACCGGAGTATGGAGAGAAGAAAAGACCGGAGTATGGACAGAAGAAAAGACCGGAGTATGGACAGAAGAAAAGACCGGAGTATGGACAGAGGAAAATACCGGAGTATGGAGAGAAGAAAAGACCGGAGTATGGACAGAAGAAAAGACTGGAGTATGGACAGAAGAAAAGACCGGAGTATGGACAGAAGAAAAGACCGGAGTATGGACAGAAGAAAAGACCGGAGTATGGAGAGAAGAAAAGACCGGAGTATGGAGAGAAGAAAAGACCGGAGTATGGAGAGAAGAAAAGACCGGAGTATGGAGAGAAGAAAAGACCGGAGTATGGAGAGAAGAAAAGACCGGAGTATGGACAGAAGAAAAGACCGGAGTATGGACAGAAGAAAAGACCGGAGTATGGACAGAGGAAAATACCGGAGTATGGAGAGAAGAAAAGACCGGAGTATGGACAGAAGAAAAGACTGGAGTATGGACAGAAGAAAAGACCGGAGTATGGACAGAAGAAAAGACCGGAGTATGGACAGAAGAAAAGACCGGAGTATGGACAGAAGAAAAGACCGGAGTATGGAGAGAAGAAAAGACCGGAGTATGGAGAGAAGAAAAGACCGGAGTATGGAGAGAAGAAAAGACCGGAGTATGGACAGAGGAAAAGACCGGAGTATGGACATTAGCGTTTAGCTCAAAGCTATAATATTATTATTATTATTAAGATAGTAGCCAGAGCAGACCCAACTTCCCTGTGTATTATTAGACTGAGGGCGAGGTCGGGGTAAATGGGGAAGTCAGAGGTCCATATAATAAGTTAGAGCATGCACTGACAACAGTTAAGAAAAACCTATTTGAAATACAGATTATTGGTTTGAATCAGGGAATCTCACACTTGATGGAACCCAGATCTACTTTTCCAGCCGCCTCCGACTGTTGTGGGTGGAAAGATTCAGAAAGTATTGGAGAAGACTGGATCTGTGGTTATGCAGATGCTGCTCCGAGACCTGGGTCCAAGACCCGGGTCCGAGACCCGGGTCCGAGACCCGGGTCCGAGACACTTCATAAACCGTTTGGATTTAACAGACTTTAAAAAAACTCTCCAGAGAACTCAGAGTTCAACAGAGACGGACGATCAATGCATCTCTGTATGAGTCTGAGGATGAAAGGGACGATAAAGGTGTTCTGAGGAGCACAGGGACTGGCCTCCTGCTGGGGCTCTGAGGAGCACAGGGACTGGCCTCCTGCTGGGGCTCTGAGGAGCACAGGGACTGGCCTCCTGCTGGGGCTCTGAGGGAGCACAGGGACTGGCCTCCTGCTGGGGCTCTGAGGAGCACAGGGACTGGCCTCCTGCTGGGGCTCTGAGGAGCACAGGGACTGGCCTCCTGCTGGGGCTCTGAGGAGCACAGGGACTGGCCTCCTGCTGGGGCTCTGAGGAGCACAGGGACTGGCCTCCTGCTGGGGCTCTGAGGAGCACAGGGACTGGCCTCCTGCTGGGGCTCTGAGGAGCACAGGGACTGGCCTCCTGCTGGGGCTCTGAGGAGCACAGGGACTGGCCTCCTGCTGGGGCTCTGAGGAGCACAGGGACTGGCCTCCTGCTGGGGCTCTGAGGAGCACAGGGACTGGCCTCCTGCTGGGGCTCTGAGGAGCACAGGGACTGGCCTCCTGCTGGGGCTCTGAGGAGCACAGGGACTGGCCTCCTGCTGGGGACTCTGAGGAGCACAGGGACTGGCCTCCTGCTGGGGCACTGAGGAGCACAGGGACTGGCCTCCTGCTGGGGCTCTGAGGAGCACAGGGACTGGCCTCCTGCTGGGGCTCTGAGGAGCACAGGGACTGGCCTCCTGCTGGGGCTCTGAGGAGCACAGGGACTGGACTCCTGCTGGGACTCTGAGGAGCACAGGGACTGGACTCCTGCTGGGACTCTGAGGAGCACAGGGACTGGACTCCTGCTGGGACTCTGAGGAGCACAGGGACTGGACTCCTGCTGGGACTCTGAGGAGCACAGGGACTGGACTCCTGCTGGGACTCTGAGGAGCACAGGGACTGGACTCCTGCTGGGGCTCTGAGGAGGTTCCAAACTCTAAAACTCTGCATATGTTGGAAGCGTAATGACTCTGCTCATGCACATTAACTCTAAATCTAAAGGTTTGTGTTGTATTTAAAGTATTCACCAGTTTTAGCACTTATTAAAAGTGAGTAAAGGTAAAAAAAACCTTATTTCTGTCTTAAATTAAATTCTGAATTCCTCTGGTTTGAGTGGGAGCTGTAGTGCTGAACGTACGATGTTCTCCTTGAGGTCGTCGGCCACAGTGACCGGCTGCAGTCCGGACTTGGCGGCAGGTCTTCCAGGTTTCTTGTTGTTCTCCTGCTCAAAGTCAAAGTCGTCGTCGCTGCTGAAGTCTCGCTCCTTCCTCTTGGCGCCGCTCTTCTTCTTCATGGCTCCGTTCCCAGAGGTCACCTCCGTCACCTTCTTACGAGGCATCTTTCACTATGAACACTGTCCTGCAACAAGAAGCAGGTCCAGTCAGGATATAGCAACATTATATATATATTTATATAAAACACACACACCAACAGCCACACATGGTGCGTGTGGAGCTGACCCAGAACCAAGGACCATCAACACTAGCATGTTTCCCACATGTTTTCACTGGTGTCACTGTTGCTTTTGAGTGTTTGATGAAACACACATTATTATTATTATAATTATTATAAACATTATCGTCACACACGCTGAGAGACATGAGTGAAATATGGGCCCTTTAAAGTTGGAATTAAATACTACTTCTGGTACAGCAGCCTTCAGACTGAGCACCTGTGGACATCTGTGTCTGTGCAGCTGGTGTGGAGCACCTGTGGACATCTGTGTGTGTGCACCTGGTGTGGAGCACCTGTGGAGCACCTGTGGACATCTGTGTGTGTGCACCTGGTGTGGCGCAGTCCTGTACCTAATTAAAACTAATCTACATGAAACACAAGTGACTTAAATTAAACTGGTTTCTTTACAAGTCTCTGGTGCTGAACACAGCTGGTACCAGTCTCTGGTGCTGAACACAGCTGGTACCAGTCTCTGGTGCTGAACACAGCTGGTACCAGTCTCTGGTGCTGAACACAGCTGGTACCAGTCTCTGGTGCTGAACACAGCTGGTACCAGTCTCTGGTGCTGAACACAGCTGGTACCAGTCTCTGGTGCTGAACACAGCTGGTACCAGTCTCTGGTGCTGAACACAGCCAGATGCATTTGGTATCGCTCAAGTTAATATATTCATGTCATGACATTTTCTACCCCTTTATTAATCCATTTCTGGGTCAGGGGGTGGCAATCAGAGCTGCCTCCAGTCCCTCTGATCCTCCAGCAGGTGGAACATTAATATAATCAATTAAATTAAAAGTTTAGCAGCGATAAAATAACCCTTGATGTGAGTTTGTCCTCAATGCTTAATGATTGTTGCATCAATAGTTCATGAAGCGTTTGACCATCACTGCTATTGTAAGTACTTAGTGACAGACATGTTTGTGTCCACATGGTGGCGTAGTGGAGCAAGTGAACCATGTGTGAGCAGTAGCTCCACATTAGCGTCACTAGTTGAAGCTGATCAGGTCAAAAGTCCCACATGAGGCGTGATTCCTAATGTCTGTATTTAAAGGTAAAGGGAGATGCACTACTATTGACACTTGTCACTTTTGTTGTACATAATTATTGTCACTTTTATTGTACATATATCCTGCATGTAACATGTTTGCACATTTCCTCCTTTTGCACAATCTGAGTGTTCTATCCATGCCAAATGTGACATGTACATTTCTCCTCTGAGATAAATAAAGCACATCTTATCTTATGAACTGGTCAGAGTTCAAGTGAGTCTGGGGCCTTAAACCGTCTGTTCTGATGTTCAAGAATCCTGTGAGAATCTTGTCAGTTAAAGATCTCAGTGTGATGCTACTGCTCAGGATCAGGTTTAGAATGAACATAGCATTTCCTGTTTACTTCTGTTGAACAAGGGAACACAGTATAACAAAAACATTTTCAATAATAGTTTTACACTTTCTACACTGCATTTGTTTCATCTATTGTGATGGTCTTTATCTTTCCACATGATTGTGGAAATGAAATACAACCTCTGGAAAAGGTAAGACAGAGCTTAACATGTTTAAGGACACATGAACTACTGCGACAAAACCGCTCTGTACGAAAAACTAACAACATCAGGGAATCACCGATTTCGGGCTGATACCAATGTTTTTTTCCCATAGATTATGTAATTAGGGGGCGACAGTAGCTCAGTTGGTAGAGCATTGGCCTTCAGGTCGTGGGTTCAATTCCCACCTCTGCACCTTCTCCACCGACTCCCACTGATGACTGCTGTCGTTGTGTCCTTGGGCAAGACACTTAACCCCACTTTGCCCAAAGCCCCCACTGAAAGATCAAGGCTATGCTCACAGTCAGAGAGCAGCCGTCCTCCTGTGGACTCACCACCTGCAGAGGGTCAGTGAGGGGCTGGTGCTATGAGACTTGGGTGGCATCTCTGACTGCCACCCCCCTGACCCAGAAATGGACTAAAGGGTAGAAAATGGATGGATGGATGTAATTATATATATAATTACATAACTATATATATATATATAACATATACACACACATATCTCTTGGCAGCCTCAGTTTTTCCTCTTGTTTCTCAAACGTCCAATGAGATTCTTTAAATGATTTTCTCGCAGCTCTTAAAATCTCACTGAACTCCTGCAAACTGCGAACGGTGATCTTTTTCTGATACTGTATCGCCACACGACCACCGCCATCTTGTTTTTTCTACTGAGGAAAGTGCACAGACGCCCTCTACACAAGCACCTACCATGTGTCTCTCTTTTACTGATGGTAGTTAACAAGGAAAACATCGTCCGAAACCAATGTTCAGCCGATACATCCCCAAACAAAATCATCTCATCTTTGACAATTTAAGCTGTCTCCATCGTCAGGTCTTCACATGGTCCGTCAGGTCTTCACATGGTCCGTCAGGTCTTCACATGGTCCGTCAAGTCTTCACATGGTCTTCACATGGTCTGTTGTTTCATCTGATGCTGAGAATACACTGAACACTTGAGCCATGTTGAAATCTTTACAATATTAGATTTGGATCAATACAATAGAAAACGCACACATGGCCCAGTGATCGTACAGTACATGAATCCTTTCACTGTTTATGTTATTAGTATCCAGGACATGTATGGCTCCAGAGTTACTATGTTGTATAGATGTAGAACTTTGTTATTGTTTTGAAATGCAACACTGACATTTCTCCACTGATTGATGAAAGAGTATTCCTAAACCTTGTCTTTCACTAGTATATACTCTCCTCATCACTCCAACCAGAACCCAGAAGTGGAGCAAAAGTTAAAGTTGCACTATGGAATATACAGAACAGTAAAGTACAGTAGAGTTTAGTCCAGTATAGTACAGTACAGTAGAGTATAGTACAGTGTATTACAGTACAGTAGAGTTTAGTCCAGTATAGTACAGTACAGTAGAGTATAGTACAGTGTATTACAGTACAGTAGAGTATAGTACAGTGTATTACAGTACAGTAGAGTATAGTAGTCCAGTCCAGTCCAGCACAGTACAGTGACATTAAAGCCACAGTGGGAACTCTCTGCTGCTGACTTAAGACGTAGTAAATAGTCACAAGTTCATAATAAAAACAGAAGCAGAGAGACCATTAATACCTACTGCTGATGTTTGCTCACATGGTTAGAGACCATGTGTGTAACAGTCGTTTGGACCAGTGAGAGCCCGGGCTGGAGGGGTAACCCCGGGTCCCACAGCTGCAGACAAAGCTCCTGTAGCATGGCGGCTAACATTAGCAACATTAGCAACATTAGCAACATTAGCAACATTAGCAACATTAGCAACATTAGCAACATTAGCAACATTAGCAACATTAGCAACATTAGCAACATTAGCAACATTAGCAACATTAGCAACATTAGCAACATTAGCAACATTAGCAACATTAGCAACATTAGCAACATTAGCAACATTAGCAACATTAGCAACATTAGCAACATTAGCAACATTAGCAACATTAGCAACATTAGCAACATTAGCAACATTAGCAACATTAGCAACATTAGCAACATTAGCAACATTAGCAACATTAGCAACATTAGCAACATTAGCAACATTAGCAACATTAGCGTCATTAGGCTAAGCAGCTCTTTGTTCACTAAACACGTCCAGGGTCGGACTAACAAACACTAACTGTACATAGACACAGCTCTGGTACCACGCCAGTCCCTCCAAACACACGCACAAACTCGTCAATACGTTTCTCTTTTGGGTTAAAATGCTGTTATTTGGAGCACGCGGACGCTCTTCCTCCGCGGTGGCTAACAGCGTCACAACACGCGACCTCAACACAAACGGTACTTGTAAACAAACTTTGTCCTTCCCTCTGGTTCTGAGCTGGTTCTGAGCTGGTTCTGGAGTTTGAGGGCTGCAGCTGCACGAACACAGAGGGTTTGTGTGAAGTGAAAGTGCAGTAAGTGCAGATGTGTCATGTACCGTGATGTGGATCTGCGTCCGTCTCCGTTTTGATTGATTTGAACAAAAGAAGCTGCAGTCTGCGTTTACACCACGTGGTCTGTCTTTCACTGTTCATACAGGAAACGGAGCGCGCTTCCTCCTCCTCCTCCTCCTCCTCGGAACCCCCCCACACTGGATCTCTGCTCCCGGTCCTCGATCCATCACCTCCTGTCACCTGGGACAAAACTCAACAGAATAGTACTTTAAAACTATGTGTAGATTAACGCTGTAGATTATCACTGTAGATTATCACTGTAGACAAACACTGTAGATTATCACTGTAGATTATCACTGTAGATTAACACTGTAGATTATCACTGTAGATTAACACTGTAGATTATCACTGTAGATTAACACTGTAGATTATCACTGTAGATTAACACTGTAGATTATCACTGTAGATTAACACTGTAGATTATCACTGTAGATTATCACTGTAGACAAACACTGTAGATTATCACTGTAGATTATCACTGTAGATTAACACTGTAGATTATCACTGTAGATTAACACTGTAGATTATCACTGTAGATTAACACTGTAGATTATCACTGTAGATTAACACTGTAGATTATCACTGTAGATTAACACTGTAGATTATCACTGTAGATTAACACTGTAGATTATCACTGTAGATTAACACTGTAGATTATCACTGTAGATTAACACTGTAGATTATCACTGTAGATTAACACTGTAGATTATCACTGTAGATTACCACTGTAGATTAACACTGTAGATTAACACTGTAGATTAACACTATAGATAACACTGTAACACAATCATGTACAATGAGTGTATCCAATATCAGACTCGTTTACACCAATATCTCAAAATCTTTTTCCCAGGGAGGAGCAGCT